TAAAATTTCCGATAAACCGGTGTGATGTCTCCACTCTGAGGTTCTTCCTGTCGTCCCATCCTGTCCTATTTATTAGTAGAAGTGGTAGACAAAATATTTACTATAAAACAAATTGAAATTAACCTAAAATTTAAGAAATTGAATATCTGTAAGGATTTGGAGAATACGTGGTTAATAATGGTTGTGTTCAGCAGATACAACAGTTTATTTATTTTGTGCTGTCGACAGTGCGTTAAACAGTCGTCATTTTTTAAATCGTATTTGAAGTATGCTACCTTGTAGTAAACATGTTGCATATTCGTTTGAACCACCTAAACTCTCCTTACAGTCCTTACTTTAATACCTATGCTTACATTTTACATAAAAACAAAATCAAACAATGTTAGAGGTTAGATGACACATGTAGGTACTAATAAACCTCGCGCCACTGCACATGTTCATACAAGGAGGAACCAGGATTTTCATTCGCAGACTAATACAGGGACAAAACCTAATTAGCCAACTATATAGCGTCGACCGAAACAAGGCACGTTGAAAGTTATTCATTGGTAAGTTATTTTTCATAATAAATAGAATACGCAATAGAAAGTATAATTTTCAATATATTTTATAAAATTTAGCTAAATTAATCAATTTAAATAAAAAAAAAAAAAATTATCTTGGGTAGAAAATCTTAACACTGAATATATCAATTAGAGGTACCTATGTAGGTCAAATTAATTTTTTCAAAAGTTTTGTGCCTCCCCCCCTTCCTTTAAAAATTTGGACCCGGGACTGTCAAGTCCCGTCAGGGTAAAAAAAGGCATAATGTAAATTTTAAAAAAATATCTATTAAACAATCTCATGATATATATTAAAACAATTTTTTTTTTTTCGTTAACACACAAATATATCTTACAATTTAAACACCAAGAATGTGGTCTGGATTCTACTGTAATTGACGAACATTGCTCGCATCGTCCTCTTTTAGAAGTGAAAACTGGCCAGTGGGCTCCTTGATTTCCCAATCTAACATCGTTTGACACTCTGTAGTTGTATTTTCAACGTTTTGGTACAGTGGTTGTTGAAGTTACAGAAGGCGTATTTCAAAGGCTATTTCTAGGGCTATTGGTATTGCGGTTGCTTAAAGATTTCTTTTGTATTGCAGAGTAGTTGCTATAGTTCATTAGCCCTTGAGCAACCCCTCTTCTAGATTCTAGCAGCGTGATTTTGTCGTCTGGGTGAACTTTTTTATAAAGCACATAGCTATTCACGAATGCTATATCAAGTATTCCAAAAACTAAATGGTGCCACCATTTCTTTGAGCGTCTATCTATACAGTAAGCCTGTCGAAGTCGATCCGCGAGATCTACACCCCCCCATATGGACATTACAATCATTGACTATCTGAGGACAATCTACATCTTTTACGGTACCGTCTTTTTGAAGGCGTTTAACTTTACTCATTTCTGTATCGTGGAAGTTAGAGAGAAAATGCACCATTTGATTGTTACACCACTTAAAAAATGACAAATCCATACTGGATACCCTATATTCAACATCGCCCCGCTTCATACTTTAGTCTTCAGTCATATTGGTTGGTAGTCCTAATCTATCCCATTGAACAGTTTCACATGCCAGCGATTTTTCCGTTTTCAGTTTTTCCAGAAGAACTACCGATGTAAAGTAATTATCAAAGTCTACAATTCTATTCGTGTTCCAGTAATTCTCAGTCAAAGTCAAAACCACCTTCTCCCCTAATCCAAATCCCTTAAACTTCTCTTCAGCCACCTCATTTTTACCCTGGTAAACTTCAAACTTCTTTATATATCCCTTTTGATCAGCTCAGCTATACACCAAAGCTTGTATCTTCTCTTTATTCGCATTTTCGGATTATACTGTTTCAAAGATGACTTTCATTTGAAAATTATCATGCTTTCGTCAACTGAAAGTGCTCTGGTTCCATTGTCTAATAAGTCAAATTGTTCATTTAGGGCTTTCACAAAAGGCCTTATTTTATAAATTTTGTCTTTATTATCAGTATATGTGTTGCAGTCGACAAAACAAAATCTTTCGGGTTTTCATGGCCGTTGTACTCGTATATTTTTGATGCTTTCTTTTTCCACTTTCTCGCTTTTTCTTGTTCTACTTTTGTGCTTCCATAGCTTTTCTTCGTTTTGTTTTTAGATTTTTTGCACTGCTTGATAGCTTTCGTTTCTGCCCTACAGAGGTTTAACGTACTTATTTCGTTCGGGCTGAAAATCCAATTCTGCGTCAACTGCGGTATCTACTGCTTCTTCTACTTCTTCCTCCACTGCTTTCTCTACTTCTTCCTCCACTGCCTCATCTTATTCCTCTTTTACTGCTTTCTCTACATCATCCACTAAGCACATGCTTGTCTTTTCGACCTCAAAGACTTCACCTTCTTCATCTGTAATAAATTCATTATCAAGCGGCAGATTTTCTATTTTAAACACAGCTGCTTCAGCTGCGGCTAGAAGGTCTTCGTCATTTAAATTTTTTCTTAATCTCCAGTCAGACATTTGTAATCAGATAAACAAATACCAAAAATAGATTCACCCAAAAGTAATAAATATATGTATAACAGTTACCTTATTAATATGTGTCTATTCCCTGGTGGGACTTAGGAGTCCTGGATGAAAATAGCTACCCTATGGAACGCCTATGCACGTTAGTGAACAAACAAATCGTTGTTTAGTTACATAAAACCACAATAATTTTAAACAAACACGAACTTACTAATGCTTTTGTTTTATGTTATTAATAAAAAAACTCGCACTACACATTCACGACTCGACTGCCATAACACACTAACGGCTGTGTTTACAAATTCAAACTGTCCGTAATAATAATGTATTGTTGGTCACATACATACCTTATAAAATGTGTACTTCAGAGTTCCGTCAGGACCACAGCGTCTCATAGCGAGCATATCGTAATTTACTGAGAGGTTAAAAGTTTTGGGACCTTTAAGTCCCGTCAGGACACAAAGGGTTAACTATCTGCCAAAACGTTATATAAAGTGGAAATAGATTCAAGGGAAAAATAGAATTAAACCAGAAAAATAATAAAAGGTAAAACAAATATAGTAAGAAATGAGGAAAACCGCAAAAATACATAAAATATTAAAGAAAAACAAGATGATTATAAAATAAGTGCAACGATAGCCTGGAATGGTTTTAAGTTCTAAGACTGGTACCTTTATAATAATTGACGATTTTGACTCTTGAACCATCGTTTTTTGGCTTTTTATTAAAAATAAATATTTATTGAACGGAAATTAAATTCTCAAAATATTTATTGATTGATTTTTTTTTTTTTTCGAAAATAATCCAGTAACAATATGCACTATATATTAAAAAAAAATACATTCAATTATTTGTTTTTTTTTAACTTTTCTGCATAACATTTCCCGTAAAACATTTCTTGGACAGCAACGCATTACGACATTAGCCAGATTGGATTTGACCACCGTGAAAAAAAAGAAGAAAAACACTAAAAGCTTGTCACTTTCATTGACTCCTATATTGCCGAATAAAATAAGACATGAACGGCATATCGAATCTTTACAGATATTTTTCTTACTTTGTTGATAAGTTAATTAAATGCGTATTTTTACGAATCTCAATCAAGAACTTAATAAATACGTTCTGAAGGAAAAGATTTCACATTAAAACCAAATCAATTAAAATTTTTTACGATATTTAGTACATTTTGTTTTTATAAATGAACACTAGTCATTAGATCAAACCTGTACTTGTTTTGTTGGAATGACTGATACAGCTTAATTATTGTATTAAAGTTATTTTATTTCAATAATATTCTATTAAAATGATCTGTCTTAAAATAACTTCCTAAATCTTCTGAATAACCGCTATATTTAATAAAATTCAAGATATTTCTAAATATACTGTCGGTTTTACTAGTTTATAAGACAAAACCAATGTTAATTAAATAGTTTTTATCATTAGTTATATTGGCATAATCTTAATATTTAAAAAAGCGAATTGCATAACTTTAATTTTTGTTTTGGACTGAAAATATATTTTAAAAATGAAACAAACTCGAGGCTATTAAAAATGTATTATATGTGCTATATAATTATCAGTTTTGCAGCGTATCCAAAACGACTCTATTGTGAGTCATACTTTATGTCTAAATTGCGTTATAAATAACTCTAGCTACTTCCATTTTACTGTTAATAACTTAACTTTATCTTTTATGAAATTAATTTGTTTTTACCAGATAAATAAAACAAAAATGAATTCTGATTTTGATATGCAACATAACCTCAAAATTTAAAATGTATAAAATAGTTATAAAAATTTTAAAAAACATTTTTCTAAAGTATGTGTAAATGTGTAAGTGACTATGCGGTAACTGCATTCAGCAAGCTTTATACAATTTACAAATTAACCAAACAGTTGCGTAATAGTGCGTCCATTTTGTGCGTATTACTGTTGAAAGAATATTTTTGAAATATTCTTAGTTAATTTTGTAATTTTGTTTTGTAAACATTTTTTCAACTTTTATAAAATATCAAATTGATACTTTGGCTACCTTTAAAACTGAGGCTGGTGATGCACCTCTTTTCAAGAGAACAAAATGAACATTTTTCATACTTTAGACAATTTGTATTCTACAAGTCTTGACCAGGACTTAAAAACAATGTATATACTAGCTAAAGAATTTTTACAAAAAAAAACAGCAAGCAGTATAAAAGTAAAAAGGTTTATATCTGTAATCTGTTTTAATGAATTGCATAGGAATTAAAAGTTTTGCCTGCTTGATATCTTATAAATTACCAATTTTCTATTATTTACTAACAGGGACCACATCATTCTTTATTCTTTTAAAATCAAATACAATACATATTAAAACAATTAGCTTCTAGATCACATTAGGCCATTCCGATAGTTGCTTTTAGCTAAATATTAACCACCGTATCATAAAATATGTTGTTCCCATAGGACCACCCTGTTAAAGTAACACAAAAGAAAATAAAAATTAAATTTAATATATTTTGAGAATACATTCAATTTAAAACAATTTTCAATCTTCTAAAATCTCAGGAGACCCATTCAGAAGGGGAATACCAAGTTCTTCGGTTCCTTTTTTTAATCTTAAATATCCTTCTTCACCCCAGTCTGTTCCAAAAGAGTTTTTAAGAATCCAGTAATCAATTCCATCAGAACTTGTATCATATCCCACATTCAATAGAGCAAAGTTGATATCATCCAGTGTGTTTGGACATGAGGAGTTACTGAAAATTCCTCCAGCGTACAACTGGATACAGTCTGCATTTATTGTAGAGGCCATAGGTCCAAACCTACCTAAATATACAACAAAAACAGAGGTTTAGGCAATGCTTTAGAAGAAATTATAATTTAAACAAGATGACTGGTCAAATAATCAATATTTTTTAAATTAGAATACAAAGGGTGTCCCAATGAAAAGTAGCCCGTTTCCATTTTATAAAATTTGGTTACGGTGAATTTAAAAGAGGATATTTTTAAAAAAACACCCTGTACAGGTAATACATAATTTATGTGACACTAAAGCAAATCTTATAGCAAAATAACACATATCAGCAAAAATCGCACGTTTCTACGATTGTTTAAAAGTTATAAGCTCTGGAAATGGGCTACTTTTCATTGGGACACCCTGTATTTTATTAACAGTGAATTAAGGTAGTTAAAATTAAACTCATTATTGAGTTTTATTTGTTAGTGTACTCTTGTCTATATACTGTAAAATAATTTTTTGAAAATTACCTACTCTATATAAATACTTACCGATGTTATATTCAAGAGTAATTTCTGTAGATTCGGAAACAAACATATAAGCATTGTTAACAATACCTTTACTTAAGTTAGCTCTACATACTGATTGAGCACCTACAAAAGGATATTCTGATTCGGGCACTATACTTGTCTTGCGTATTGATCCATAGGCAAAGCCAGTCATTATGTCTCCACTAATGTTACATTCTTCGCCAAAAGGCACAGCGCAATCTATAAATTGTTGGGTACTAAGTTGTACAGTTATATTTTTATGAAAAGCAAGTTGACTTTCATAAGCTGCAGCCTAAAATAAATAAACAAAAATAATAATTTAAATTTAATAATCCAAATTTGATAACAAACGAGCAAAAGACAATCAACAGAAAGCTGATATTTTCGCTGAACACCTACAACAAAACGTTCCAATTAGAAAAAAATCAAGACAGTTGGAGATAATCTTGCTGAAGACCAATATGACTATTTGTTAGCGCTGGTTCTTGCAATCATACTTTGCATTTGTATTTACCTGATGAACTTTAAAGTCTGGATGAAACATCTGACTCTTGATGAAGGTTTTGTGAAAAAATTCTTGACTAACAATTTTTAAATATGTGTAAAATTCTTAATTTTAGTCGTTTGTTCATTTAAGGGAGCATATGTAATTTGATAGAATTCTTAGTGGAGTAATTAGAAAATATTTTTAAACATACAACCAATCTTTTGACTAATGACGTTATGTTTCATTCAAAGAACAAAACAGAATAAGCGAACAATATTAAAATTACAGATTCAAGTTGTCTTAAAGCCCTCTATCCAATGAAATTCTAGCTATATACCTGGCTCAAGAAATTCTATTACATCATGATAATTAGGTAGATACTAGGTTTTAGGTTTATTTATTCTTGATCCCCCACAGCTACACCTAATTAGTGTCTAATTATAGATTTAAAGGACACTGCCACTGGAACATTTCTCACATGTTAAAAGTATTATTAAATCATTTGCTTATTGTATACTACTTATTGTATACACTTGCAATAAATCCATTATATCATTTTTAAATTCCTGGGGCATTTTTTTTTTGTAACTAGTCCAGAAATAGAGCTTCCTCCCAGTTATTTCATTTTTCATTTATTTATAATTAGCTATTGACTCATTATTTGTTTTAAAATATTTAGCAGCAAAAGTGAAAGATCTTCAATATTCCACGTTTTCTTGATTAATAAAGTAATCTTACTATACGATATAGTATATGTGGTCCCATTCTTTCTATAAAAAGGCTTGGGGATTTATAAATAAATCATCTGGTAAGTTAATTGCCTTAGAAATGGTAATATCTCAGCTGTTTGAGAAGCTACTGCTAAAAACCAATAATTGAAAATAAAAACCAAATCCATTCGAACCACTGATTTTATAAATAAACAATTGAACAATAGATCAGGTACAGAGAATATTCGATATCATCGAGGAAGCATACGAAGAAAGAAATGTAGGTACATGCATAGATTGACGTGGCCCAAGCATCTGACAAGGTTTGGTACGCTGGCCTGATACAGAAACTCCATAAAATGTTCCCTGGGCAATACAACAATATTCTTTAATCTTATTTAGCGGGAAAAATGTTTAGATTAGAATTAAAAGGAATTAGAAAACTTTTAAAAAATAAGTAAACCGAACATAAAAAAAAGAATATCTGCATCTAGTGATGCCGCGAGACAAGACGAGACGAGAGAGTGACCTGTCTCGTCTCGTAGGGCGAGAGAAAACTGTTCTCTCGTCTCGACGAGAAAGCGCTTCTCTCGCTCGAGAGAGCCTTTCTCCCGTCTTGTCTCGTATCGTCTCGTTTCTCTCGTGATAAAACAATACAAAATTTAAATTTGAAAAAGACGAAACATGAAAAAACGGTAAAATTTATAAGACAAAACAAAGAATGTTTCAAGTAATTTGCGCATTAGTACTCAAATTTGACAATAAGAAACACTTATGTCTCTCTGTCTGTCCATCTGTCACAGTCGTTTTACAATTGAAATTTGAAGTAATAAGTGGCCCAGATTAGGCGTTAACTAAAAACAAAAATACTTTGTCTTGTAAGTCAGTTGGGGAGGGGGGGGGAAGAGGTTAAGTTGGAAGTTAGAATTTTTATATTGCAATCCAGTGATGTCAAATGAAAGCATTTTGTAGTATGTTTTCAAAATGCAAGAAGATAGAGACATAAAACAAAAATGATGTGAAATTAGAGAAACATTATGATATTTGTTATATATAAATTTTCGAATGGAAAGTAAAGTCATGTAATACCTCATTTGAAAGATATTTTGATTATTTTTACGTCCAAGCAAACAGATTTAATTTTTTTTATTTTTTCAAAAATTACATTCTTAATAATCCTCGTGTGCCGCAATAGTCCTAGAAATGTTAAATATTGTAAGAAGAGAATTTTTTAATATGCTTTCTTTTGCCAAAAAGTGGTTTTTAAATCACCTTTGATATTCCTAATTTATTTATTTTAGTAAATACAAGAACCGTTTCCTTAGTAATAAACAATAATTGTTAATACGAGAGTTATCAAGAATGTAACTTATTAGTAAAGGCCCAGAACATGTCTGTATAAGTACAAAGTACCAGCTACAAAAAATTGAGGATGAAGCGGTAAATAAAAAAAAGAGTTTAACCTACTTTATGAATTTATTTAATGTAATTTCTGTAAAAACAGAAAACCTAAATCTGTTTACATAAACGTAAAAATATAGAAAATATCTTTAAAATGAGGTGTCACATGACCCTACTTTCCATTAGAAAATTTAAAACTAGTAACTTACTCTATCTTACGTGTCTCAAGTAAAGTGCATCTCGTTATAACCAAAATATAATATTTCTTGAGTTTTACCTCGTTTTTGTTTTGTCATTATCCTTTTTCATTTAGAAGTTAAAATAGGGGAGCGTACAATTTTCATCCTCACTGTTTATAATACATTCGTTTGTATTACATTTTCTTTGACAGTTTTTCGAAAAAACGCTTAAACATTTTCAACTTATCTTCAAAAGTAACCTTAGAAAAGCAGAATGGATTAAATATAAGAAATGATTGTATAAATTTTAAATAAATGAAGGAGAAATATTTTTTCTTATAAATCACTATTTATAAAATCCTAATAACACAAGTATCATTTGTTACCATTTAATATATATTGAATAGGTGTATTATAGTTAATTTTTTAACTATCTCGAAATCTAATATGTTAAAATTTTAAGTTACGATAAGCAATTGAAAATATCAAATAAGCAAAGAATAAATTATTCGAGAGAGCCCGAGAGAGCTCGAGAGAAACGAGAAATTCTCGTCGAGAGATGATACTCTCTCGTCTCGTCTCAAATCTGTTTTCATGAGAAAATTTCTCACTCGTCTCGTTCGAGACGAGACAAGACGAGACGAGAGACGAGAATCTCTCGTCTCGCGGCATCACTAGCATAAAGTAACGAAAGTCTATAGATAAAATGATAACAACGAAGCGTGGTAAAAATTGCGATACTATACCTATATTACTGCTTTCTAATTAAAACTAATTACAAATACTTACCGCAGCGAATGGCCAAGAGTTTCCACAATCTCCTTGATCTCTAACAGGCATAACAAACCCCTTTGATCTCCAATCGACACTAGTTGCGGTCTTTACTTCCTTTGGTAATTCGTGTGATTTTATTTTTTCTGATTTCGGCAGATTTACTTTATGATTTTTGAACATACTTTTAAATTCAGTTGACGTTCTATCGGCAAATTTGTTGACTCCTAGGAAATAAGTGGTTTCTCCATTTCTATATCTTTCATTATGTTCATTGATCTCGCGGAGGTTGTTTTGAAATACGGAAAAGCGGTAATTTTCTTCTACGATATTCTTGTATTTTTTTCCATGATTTTGCTAAAAATCATATTTTAGACTTTTTAATAATATATATTTAACAACATAAATAATCAATTTGTAGTATTTTTTCATAAATGTACCTCTATATTATGATCTCTAATTACTTTTGATGAAGCGAATAACACTCTGCCTACTAAAATAATTAATTTTTAGCCCAAACTATACTAAAAACGTAAAATAAGTGCAATAAGAGGGGATCATACGTCCTAATTCAGAGGCGTAGATATTTTAAGAAGTAACTAATATATAACAAATTTTATTTATTGTTATGATACTTGTTTGTGAAATTTATGACATAAACGAAAATGCTGGTACAAGACATATAGATTAAGATATTAAATTATTTAGTATACAATATCGGTCAACAAATACCATATAATATTCCTTGGCACAAGTGCGCATGAAAACTACAAACAGCCAGCAATAGAGCAAGCAGGAAAGAAACAAAACCAGCGATGCCAGCCTATACAGTCTGACGAACATTACAACACGATCGGGTCGTATAAATAACAAAGCTGGTTTTATTTCTTTGCTGCTTGCTCTGATGCTGGTGCTAGTATTTACACGCACTTGAACCAAGGGATATTAGAAGGTATTCGTTGGTCGATAACGTATTTGTACGAATACAAATACAACGAATATAAAATAAAAAGTTTAACTAAACTAATAAAGCAGATTTGAAACTGAGAGATTTGGAAGAAAGTTAGATGTGATAAAAAAAACTAAATATATATTTTTATTCTCTTTAATATTTATTAACGGTCACGAAATGAAGACAGTATCACTGTCATAACTGCCCAGAATAATTTTATTATCACTCTTTCAAGTAAATTTTTTGATGCATCTGATCTCTAAAATAACTGTTCCACTTTTTCAACATGCTCTTTGCTCGTTTTCCAGATAAAACAGGACTTGTAGTTGATATATCAGCAGAAAGTCAACAATAAAAAGGAATTTAGTTATTGCAGCTAAAACTACTAAATAATTAATTAATTGTTTTTGTCAGATACCAGATATCTCTGCTCTTAAATTTGTATGTTCAAAATCAATATTTCTACTTCATGAATCTATACCTCTCGACTATGTTCAACAGTCGAAGGTAACTCTGTATTTCTAATTAGAATTTCATAATTTAATTCGTGAGCTTTTAAATGTTTAGGAAGCATTTTCACTAATATTTAAATAACAATTATCAAAAATAGGAGGGAAAAGAAAAAAATATTTAAAATTTGATCAAATGAAATGAAATATTTACGATAAAAGTAAAGAGATAAAAAAAATTCGATTATTAAATGCAATAATAAGGTATTTTATTTTATTATAAAAGATAACGAGATATTTAACAAAAACTCATGAAATTCGAATCATAGTTACAGTTCGATATTGAACTTCAAAACTACTAATTAATAAAATTTATTGTAGATACCTAGGAAACGTGATAAATATTAAATTACTTCCAAGCAAAAATTTAACTACTCACGAATAAATACGCTATCTTAATGTACCTGTAAAAACTATTAATTGGTCTAAGGTCATATATTTTACCTAATTTATTTAATTTTGCTGCCGAAGCCAAACATTTCATAGATAGAGGTGGGCGAAAATATGTAGATTCAAAATTCGATAAGTTGCGTTTAAAAAAATTGTACTTAGAATTATATTTTTAATAATAATAATAATTGTAACATATCACAGAAAAATGTAGGAATTAGATATTTTGTGAAGGTAGGTAGGTAAAAAAATAATTAAAAGTGACAAAATCATTCAATAGGTACGATAATTAAATTTTAGGTACAAATTATTATATCCTACACTTTTTTGTGGTAAATAAATTTGTTGAAATACTCAAATTAGTACGATTATGCAAATACGATTATGCTAATAATGTATAGGTACATGCAAAAATTGAAAGAAAAGAAAATATATAGGTACTATAGGTATATCGGTACTAGGTAAATAGATAAAAGCATGCAAAACAGTTAATTCCTGTAAATACTTGTGTAAATTATAACGGTAAGATATATTTTCAAATAAATAAGCTTTGTAAGGTTTATATACCACGTTGGGCGCCAATTTGTAACATGTAATGTTGGTTTTACTTACCGTGTTTTAGCTCAATTTTAATTAGGGCCGTGAGTAGCACTTAATAACCTTGACAAAATTTAACTATAGGAAAGGGAAGGAGGGCGCCACCAAACTTACATAAACATATCATTTAAGGTGAATTATAATAGTTTGGCAAATATAATTAATATGACTGATGTTAAAACAAGAATGGATGTGTTTATGCAGGCAAGTAACAAATACAATATACATAAGCCATGATTCATTTAAATTACTTCTTTATTTAATTTTCAATGATAAAAAATGAAACTTATCTCAGAGTAGGAATGGTCTTTAAGGGTCTGACAAATAAGGACGGTCTCCTACAACGATGCGTTTTCTTCTAACCATAAATTAACATGTTTGTTACCATAACTTCATATATCTTCTAACCATAAATTAACATATTTGTAACCATGACTTCAACTATCTTCTCAGCGTATGTTTAAACCATCCAAAGGTTGACTTATTTAAAAGATTGAGACCTTTTTGAAGTTTACGTAATAAGGAAAAATAAGGAATAAGGAGGTAAAATGTTTCTGAACACAGAATGAATAAAAAATAGATCTTTACAGAAATTAATGACACGTTCTAAAACATCTAACCTCACATTTTTAACAACTAAATAAATCCCGATCCATTTCGTTAATCTTTGCAGAAATCTTGTAAATATTAATCTTGTACTCACCATAAAATATTGATGGTTGTCACCACTAATAAAAATACCACATACTGTTTAAGATTAATTAAATATTAGCAGATTTAATAATTTCGACTGCCTCGTTCTGAGGTATTGTTGTAAAAGGACTTTTACCAGTAATACCTGTCGAAAGTCAAATTCACTTTCGATCGTAACATACAACTTATAAAACCAAAAATCACTATATAAAATATTTGTAGCGACAGAATGAAACTAATGATCCTAATAGAGATGGGACAATCATTTTAAAAATATAGTTATAAAATATTAAAATAACGGAACTAGAAGAGTAACCGTTACAAGGCATAGTATTGAATTGATGCAATAGCAGCTTTTTATTAAATGATATGACATAAAAAAAGGAAGTTCACAAAGAGCCATTTTACATAAAGTAGCATACTTATATAGTCCTTTTTTGTCAATTATATTACTCACCTTAAAAGTCGACCATTGTTCTTTCTCTGATAGAGCATTGACACAAATAATGCAGACGAATGTCACAATTACAAATTTCATCCTATCAATATCTGAAAATGATTTTTTTACTAATATTTTTCCAAATTATTGTAATATTAACACATGCGAAAAAAATTCAGTTTATAGTGAATCCGCATTTGAAACAAAACAAAATAAGCCTTTCAAACATAAATAAAAATTTTCCCTGTCTCCCTAAAATTATTTTCCATATTTGCACAATAAAATATCACCAAATAAAAATTATGTTTATTCTACAGAAAATAATAACAGAAAGATTACCTTACATACTTAAAAAAAATAATAACTCGTATTTACTACCGCCTTTACCATTATCAATGTCTTAAATATTATTAGAAAGTTGTATCTGTTAGTATTATTACAATGGGGGTGCTCTAATCCTACACATAAACTCAGATGGTTGAATGTAATAACGGCTCAAAAAACTATACATAAAGTAAAAAAGAACTGAACTTGCTACACTAAAATATTAAATATAAAAAAAAAATTAACCAATTTCCCTAACCTGTGCGGCCTGGAACCATTAAAATTTGTCTAAACCAACTTTGACACAAATGAAATTTGCATCCGATAAGTTCTACCTCAGGCCAAACCAGAATACATGAGTTATGACCATCTGACTATCACTATCACTAATGACGATCTTAATTCGTGTGGGATTAAAAAATTACCTGTAGGATCGTCTAAGAAAAGGTTCACTAAATATTAAAAGATCATATAAATTTCGAGACGTCATCCAAAAATAATCAGGATTTTATTTACGACATATATTATCTAAATTAATAAATAAATTTTCAGAAGAAAACCAAAATACCAAATACTAAAATTGGAAATATTTTAAATACTGTAAAGTGACAGTTACAATAAATAATGTAACTTTACTTTCATTATAAGTTAAATGTAGTAGAAATGAAAATTTTAAAGTTGATTAATTTTGTTAAAATAAATGTTTTTTTTTATTTTTAAGGTTTCAAAGATTATACTTCGACATAAAATAAAATTCGGATTCACTATATACTACATCTATACTGAAACAATTATATTGGATTTCTTTTTTGAAGTTTTTATTTTCACATTTCAAAATGCATAGAACGAAGAGTTTTTATTTAATAATTAAACAATTTAATTTTATTTCTGTCACAAACTCACCTCTTACCTCTCACCTGCAAATTCCAATAATCAAATTGTACAATTTACGTGCTTGGAATCATTACTAAATAAATATATTACTTATATATACTTAAAACACTTTTTTTTATCTTATCTATTATTTTTCGATACAATTCAGGAATTTTTTGTCAAAAGACAATAATACTTGACTATTCGTTTAATTTCAAATGCATTATAAAAAATATCTCAAATGTAATAATATATCTATATTAAACAGACAATTAGAACAATAGTATTTATGAAACTAGTTGCGAAATGCCTTATTTTATGTAACGAGTAATGGGATAATTATCGATTTTTTAAAAAAATATGGAAATATTCCTTTATTGATGCATACATTAAAAATATGTTTTAACGGTTGAGAAATAAAGTTTGATATTCATTTTTTAATCGTTTCTAATTTTATGTTTTTTAATTCCCTAATTGATTTTTGTGTTTTATGCTTCCTCTATGGGCATAAAAAGAAGCTGTTTAGAATAAATCTTCGCATAAGTGCATAATTCTGATTTAGGTACTTTTATTTAGCAATATTAATTTTATTTGTTAATGTTTTATTCAAATCATTTTTGATATTTTCTATAATTAGTTTACTTTTTTTTGTATGACTAACTTATTGTATCATTTTCCATAAATTCTGTCCATTGCCTGAATTTAACTATATTTAATTTTTATGATAGTTATGCTTGGTTTTTTTAATTAAAGTATTTAGATTCTTTCTAAACATTTTGTATTTCATTATTAAGTCAATTGAAAGATATTGCAAATTTTTATAACGTCAACCACTAAAAGTGACAACTTAATTAGTGGAAAATAAATTCTATGCTAAAATAAGACTTATTGCAAACCTGAAGTTTTGACCTTAGAGTCCTTATCCTTAAACATATTTCTAACCTCATTTTAAACTACAGTTCATCTTTTTTGGTGTCTATAATAGTACATAATATGGAAAAGGCATATATATCTTAATATCTTAGGAGGTTTTGATGACGATGATATTAAATATTTAATATTAAAAAACTTCGAACTGATTCGAATATCGGCGAGCGCACCCGAAAGCTATAAAGTCGCCACAATTAAGGACAGGCACAATCTTTAATAAAGTCAGTTCTAGAACCTAAACGATCTGCGCATGCTCAGATGTCAAAATAAGAGCGGCGCTAATAGCGACTGACCTTAAGTGAACTTGCAATAATTCTCTAATATTTTCTATGTCACTGAATTTTTTTGAACAGATAATTTTTTATTGATTTGTAGCGAATTTTAGTACATTGTTGTATAACGTTCTTTATTTCCATAATGTATTGCAGTAATTGGATCTGCCATTTGATATATAGATTCCTAGTTTAAATTTTGAATTGCTGTTTTTAGTTTTTTATCGTTAATATAAGTTACAAATTTATCGTTATTTTGTTAAAATGTTCTATTATTATAGATTATTTGAAATATAGTGATCGGTAATGTTAGTTGGTAAAATAATTTTTTCTAAATCGTGCCTTGCTCGTAAGAATATTATGATCTATACAACTTTTACTATTGTATGTGCATTTATTGTAGAGAAGCAGCCGTTTATATTTAGAATGTTTAAATAGTCCGAAGTAATTGTCATTGGTTTTCCAAAGGCCTATATTTATGTATCCTATCACGATACGTATAGAGTTAATATCATTATCGTTTTGGTTTAAATAGTTTTCTTATTGTGTTATAAACTCTAGCGGAGATCATTATACAGCTGTTATGGAGATGGTCGCATCTGATTCAAGATTTATATTGATTTGTAATATTTTAACATTGTTAATATTCTCTGTTATGTTATGTGTATATCTAAGACCTTATTTGATATAAGCCACAACTCTTTAACAATCACCGTCACTTAGAAATTAACTGTTGTCACTAAATAACAATGTAGTGGCCAAAAGGACTCTAGTCATCAACGGCGGGTACACTGTATTAAAAAAGAACATCTAAATAATTGTTCAATTATCGAACTCTGGATTTTGTTAGACAGCTTATCTGGACTAGGGGTTGTGCCTCTTTATGGATCTCGGGCTGAACTCAACAACTCCTAACACACATAAGATAAAAATAGGTGAACGTTCAACAACTTAATATATTTAACTCAATATATTTAAACAAGTAACAATTTTTTAATATAAAAAACGATCAAATAATAGCCTATGTTTAGAGGTACAAGATCTACCCTGAGGTTCTCGCCCGATTCGGTAAATCAGCCGACGATAATGAAGTACCGATAACTACTATAAGAATAACTAGCAAAAGGTGTCAGAAATCTCGTTGGATCTTGTAGCCACCAAAGTCAAAAAAATAAACTATATTATTCCTATTAAAATCTACGAAGAGAGGTAACTAAATAATTTGGCAAAATGAAAGGAGAACTGTCACAATTTTAATATAGTGAAAGAGGAAGGCTTACCTTGCTCGAAACGTAGTTTCGATTTCACTAAGTTTAAAATCGGTTGGCTGATATTAATTATTTAATCACAACTTCAAAAAAATTACTTTAAAATTTCCGAGATACGCTTTATCGGCGTCGGTGGGTAGTCGGACAGCGTAACGCCCGGCCCACTCAGTAACTGTCTCTTCCCCTCGTTCCCAAATCATTTAAATATTGGTTGAGACGTGCTTTCTTTGAAATTTTTGATCAACTCATATATTTAATTTACTTTGATATTATAATAACTGTTTAATATTTCTAAGGTCAAATGATGGAAAGTACTTGAAAATTTATATGATTTTTTTTATGTAAAATCTTTAGATTAATTAAAATAATTCCCAAATTATTACAACTCCATCGATAGTAAAAATATAGCCCTTTTTATTTTTAATTTGAATAAATTTAGAAAATTAATATGACTTATTTCTAATGATATTCCGTTCTATAATTTAAGTCACAAATAAACATAATTTTTTTAATTATAGTTATTTTGGCTTTTGGTATTATATACCAATATTTAATTTATATCTAGTCATGTGGTCATGACTTACTGCTACTAAAGTGTATTTGTCTTAAACGTTGTTTTGTAGTCATCGTTTTGGCGCAAATAACTGATTAATATCTAATATTCCAACTTCTAAATAAATATCTACTGTTAGGTAAGTCTTAGATTAGTGAAATATTGTTTTTAATATACCTAATTTTTTGTAATTTCTGCTACACTTTATTCTATTGTAACATGACAAATGATTTTTAACTAATGCATAGTAAAGAATTTTTAAATACTAAACACAAAGAAAAGATTTTAAAAGATAAATCTTAGCCTTTTTATAACATAATTAATTTATTCTTCCCATCGTAGATGCGAGTCGACCCATAGTCCTAAATACTTTATGTTATCTGAATACAATTATTTCAGATGATTATAATATATAAATTTTAAAGTGTACTCAAAGTACAATATCAAAATCTAATTTATCTGTCTTAATCTTTAAGAAATATAAAAAAAATATGAAATTAATGTATGTTTTTATTGATAATACTATTCCAAAAGAATGTCGAATAGATACACTGAAGAATGTAATAAATAAATAAAAATTTAGTAATGCCACCGCTACCGCAAGATCTCATAAAAATTAAGTAGAATTCATGTTCATGACTACATAATAGAACACACCTGGATACGATATCAATGTAAAAGCAAAGAGTAGAAATAGGAAAATATTTGAATTATTTATATACGTTTTACCGATGACATGGTATTGATTTCAAATCGAGTGTTAAGGTTATTAAAATTCTAATACAATTAACATAAGGATGTCTGTTAAATAACAACTCAGTCAATTTCATAGAAAACCTTAAGTCCAGTAAGAGTATTCCAGTTTAAATATACAGTATGGTTCAAATGAAAGGAATAAATTCATTATAATGGAAGTAGTTGGTTTTTCGAAAAAATGCTCGGACAGGTCAATTTTGTTTACTCAAAGCGCAATTTTTTAAATAAAATTCAATTTTCCCCCACTTCCCATTTTTGGGCAGTGACGTCATTGGCAATTTTTTTAAATAGTAACCCCATTTTTTTTCTTGATTTTGTTAGATCTTGCAATTTCCTACTCGGAAACATAATATTTGAAATATCTTACATAACAATTTTTTTTGAATAAAAGTCATCTAAAGATCAGACACATAAATTTTATTTTATTTTGAGAACACAATAAATGAATAAAAGATAATTAATGGATTAAACGACTTACCTGAAAGGAAGTTCAATCCAAATTGTACGAACTGCTGGGCCCCAATATATCCATAATATGTAGTATACTCTCGATTGATCGAAGTGTACGATTATTTCACAACATTTTTAAAGATACTAAAAAATTTTGGGTACGCCGCTGCCGCATTCCATGCTTATCATCGACGACCCGATATACCTCATTATTTTGTTGTGGTCCTAGATCGCTGATTTCTTTTGGGGTTGGTTATAAAATCGTTTTTCACAGGAGGGGAGGGAAGTGGATATATTGGGGCCCAGCAGTTCGTACAATTTGGATTGAACTTCCTTTCAGGTAAGTCGTTTAATCCATTAATTGTACTTCACTGCTGGGCCCCAATATATCCATAATATGTAGATGTTTAGAGATCAACAGCGATCATAATCATTTAGAGAAACACGATTGATTTTTAATAAAAACCAAATATTTTGTTAAAGAGGAAAAATTATTTTCAAATTGAGTTTTTTTTTTTTACATTCTATGTACACGCTGTATATATTTATATACACTTATACGAGTATAAATCTAACATTGAATTCAGCTAAATTTAAACACAAAAAAACGTATATTTAGCGAAACTAAATGGTTATTTTTTGTAATCCTTAAGATTTAGATCCCCATAATTTTGAAAAACAGCTTCGTTGTAAATTTATTGAAGTTACTCGATTTTTAGCAGCTTTTCGTATAACCAATGTCATGTAGAGTAATTATAACCTGTTAAAAACTATGTGTCTTCGCCACTTTTTCCAGCTATCGAATGATTATTTGACTGTTAGGAGATATTTTAGTTTATCTCCTTGTCTGAGAGGATTGGTCAACTGTTGGTATTGTATTAAGGCGCAGGCTGTGAACAAAGTCAGATCATCGTTAAAAAATTTAAAGACTAAAAGTGGTTTCTCCCTGTCTTTCTTTCTCTCTCTCTCTCTCTCTAATATTTG